TGATTTCCAGCTCCGTCGTGTTTCTCTGTCACATTTCTCGCCATCGTGTGCAGGGAAACAAAAGATTGTGGGACTAAAAAGAAAAGTTCACGTAATCAATTCCAACTTTGCAAGATATTTTTCTTTCAAGAGAAGTTGAAATTGATTGAGTAATTTTTTTTTTAGTTCCACAAACTTTTGTTTCCCTGCAAATGACGGTGAGAAACTTGATGGAGCTGGGCTGGGGCAATGGCCCCTGTGCCCACAGAGAGGGCTCTAAGTGCCACCTCTAGCATACATGCCATAGGTTTGCCACTACTGCCTTAAGCCAATCCATATCTTATGATGCTTTATGTTACCGCTCATTAAAAGGTATTTGTAAGTCAAGGTCAACTCATAGTGATTACATTGATGAACCATGTAGTTTCTTGGCTGCAATACAGGTTGTCCTGGACTTACAACCATTCCTTACAACCATTCCTTTAAGTTCAAAGTTACAATAGCATTGAAAAAAGAAATTTATGACCAGTCCTCACACTTTACAACCATCCCCAAGGTCACATGATCAAAATTCAGGTGCTTGGCAACGGTGTATTTATGACAGTTGCACTGTCTTGGAATCATGTGATTGCAATTTGTGACCTTCCCAGCAGACTTCCAACAATAAAGTCATTGGACAATGCTGGATTTGTTTAATGACCATGTGATTCATTTAATAACTGTAGTGATATTACACAAATTGTGTAAAATCAGACAATGCACACTTAACAACTGCCTTGCTTAGCAATTTAAATTTTGGTCCCAATTGTGATAGTAAGTGAGGAATATCCATATAGTGGTGGCTTGTTGTAGTCTTCTTCTTAGCACTTAGAACTTAGCCTTACATTCCGCTCTATAGTGTTGTACAGCCCTCTCTAAGCAGTTTACATAGTCATCATATTGTCCCCAACAATCTGAGTTCTTATTTTACCAATCTCAGAAGGATGGAAAGTTGAGTCAACCTTGAGCCGGTGAGAATCAAACTGCTGGCAGTCAGCAGAATTAGCCTGCAATACTGCATTCTAACTACAACACCACCATAAGTCATTAGTCTAAAACATAGTTCTGATGTTCCTGAAATAATATCAAAGTAGTAACCTTGACCTAACCCTTCAAGTCAAAGCGGTTGGCCTTTGTTGGCCATGCTTCCATGACCTTACAGGGGGCAGATGAATAGATTTCCAAACAAATAATTGTGCTGCAACATCCCATTTTTTTCTCTCTGGTTCTTTGCTTAAAAACAACCTTGTGATCTTTGTGGGACTACCAGTACGGCATTTTGTGGCATATACAGGGTGTACCAAAAATCAGACCTCATATGCCAATCGCATACATAAAATATGTTCCTAAATTTATTAGTTTTTTTTTTCAGGTAAAATGTTGCTATATTTAGTAATATTTAAAAGTCATGCATCAAACAAGTAAGGAAGTGTTTAGAAGAAAATGGCAATCAGTTCAAAAATGTTATATAATTTATATCCTTGTCTAAAGGGTCTAACTTTGGTACATAGTGTATGTACTGTATATATATGAACATGCACACACACATAAATACACAACAAAAATAAGGTGGATGAGAAGCCTGCACTTACATTCCCATGTGCCACTATATGAAGCATAGATTTCTGATTGCAATGAGGCTATAAATGGGATAATTTTTAACAAGATACTCTCAACCTGCTGCCTAAAGTGTGACAGCCAAATAATAGCACCAGGATATTAATCACTTCATCTTACTGCTGCATATACAGATCTAGCCTTAGTCCTACTACAGTCAAATCCTCATTGAAATTCAGTCACTCAATCATGTAATAATTGCTTTGATAATTTGTGTGCTGAATAGTTTCAAGCAGTAACTTTCAAGAGTCAAAATACTTCAACAAGAACTTTCAACATTAACAAATTAAACTGATAAATGATTCTATACTACATATTACATTTTCCTTTTCTTGCATCCTTAGAAAGATTTCCCATTTTGCAGGACTGTCCTCTCATTAGCCAAGTTTTCCTGGACATTGTCCCATAAATAGTCTAAGGGCAACTAGTATTAATATATTTTTCTCACAGGTTCTTCTTGATCAAATATATCAGAAGCCTTGAAGGCAAACCATTGCGTGTGAAGAAAAAATAAATGTTCCATGTACAGTCTAATATAGCTTTCCACCTTAAATTGTAATATAAGCCAAATAAGATTAAACTATTGGGTGTTTCTGCACCTGGAATGGAAGCAGTACTGTTCAAATATCTGCTTCAGATAATAATAATACGTTTGTCAGATCGACTTTCCAATATGATACATCAACAGATCCATCAAAAAGTACTGAATGTGGAAAAACAGGCTGTAGAGCAGCGGTTCTCAACCTGGGGGTTGCGACCCCTTTGGGGGTCGAACGGCCATTTCACAGGGGTCGCCAAAGCCCTCTCTCGCCCCCCCCCACACCTTCACTCACCCTCACTCTCTGCTCTGTTGGATCGCCGGCCGTTCGCTTACCCCGCCCGTTCCCAATCTATTGCTGCCTCCTGAGTCCCAGCTGATGGCTAGAGGAAAAAAAACTGTTTAAATTTTTGCCGCGGGGCTTCAAAGGGCTGCCCTATAGCCAGTGGTGGGATTCTGCCGATTCTAGAGGGTTCAGCCCAACCGTTTCTTAAATTGCTGCCTTGCCCCACCCCTCCGCACCACTATTTATTGCCAATAAATAGTGGTGGGCGAGGGGCGGGCGAGCCAGCAATTTAAGAAATGGTTCAGTGTTTTTTTGTAATTTTATTGGCCCGCAGAGCTTCAGCATAGGCTAATTAGCCCTTGATTAGATCGGCTCCCGACTCTCAGCTGATTTGCTCTCAGCTGTTTTGCTCAGGGCTCTGCAGCTTGCTGGAACAGATTTTTTTCCCCCTAGCTATGCTGAAAAACAAAACTGAAACTAAAGCAGGCTGTTGGCTTTGCTGTTGCTGCAACGTTGGAAAATTAGGCAGGCAGATTTCTTTTCTTTTTCCTCACCAAAAAAGGTAGGTGCAAATAATGGGAAATTTAAGGAAAAGAGGAGAGTTCAAGATTTTAAAACACAAAAGAAAAAAGCTCTATTTAACTAGGGAATTGTAATAATTGAGATACTATTAATTGTATATTGTGTTGAAAGCAGAAATGGTTAAGTTGTGGTTTGGAGGAATATATGGGGGAAATTATTTGGACTATTATTATTGGTAAATATAATTAATTGATTTGTAAGAAATTGGATTGCATGGAAATAATTGGAATATTCATGTTCATATTGATTAATATACAAAAAAGGTAGTTATATAACTAATTGATTTATATTAAAATGTTGAATTTATATTAAACAACTGTAATATTACATAATTAACCAATGTGAGGATGGATATAAAAATAGATGACAATGGGAAGGGGTATAATATAGAATAGAAGGGAAAAATTGAATTTGATTAAGATTAGAGATGAGGATGAAGGGTAATATTGGTTTTTTTTACAAAAAATAGATGAGGAATAAATATGGCAAAAAGGAAATATAGAAATTGTAAATTTAATTGAAATGACTAAACACTGTTTAAATTTGTGAACCGACCAAATACTCTGTTCAAAGAAAATACATTGTATGTTTGTATGTGTGTTTCTAATAATTGTTATTTATTCATATTTGCTCTCTTTTATTCTTTAAAGTTTAACAATTCATTCTTTATCTTAATATCTTTATATTTGTTTGGGGTTGGTTTTCTTCCCTTTCATTTTTTTTATTGTACAGCAATCTTTCTCCTCAAACCTACCACCTCTCTCTTTTCTTTCCTTCTTACTTTCTCTTCCTCCCCCTCTTCTTCTCCTCCCTACTTCCTCTTCCTTTCTCCTTCTCCTCCTCTCTTCCTCCCTCTCTTACCCTCACTCCTACTCTAATTTCCCTTCCCTTCCTTCATCTCTCTCTATTGCTGGACTACTCAGAGGGCTGAAAAAGTTATTTCTGACTGGTCCTCACACTTTTGACCAGTCCTCGAACTTACGACTGTCCTCACATTTTACGTTTTTGCCCTATCTTGTCACCATGGTGAAGAGAAACAGTTGTGAAAGGAGTGACACGGTTGTTAAGAATGCTACAATGGGCATAAATGATGACCAGTCATAAGTGCGAAGACAGGTCAAAAGTGTGAGGACCTGTCAGAAATCACTTTTTTCAGCCCTCTGGGTAGTCCTTTTGTGCACATGGACTACTCAGAGGGCTGAAAAAGTTATTTTTGACTGGTCCTCGCACTTTTGACCAGATCTCGAATTTACGACTATCATCACATTTTACGTTTTTTGCCCTATCTTATCACCATGGTGAAAAGAAGCAGTTGTGAAATGAGTGACATGGTTGTTAAGAATGCTGCACGGGCATAAATGTGAGGATGGTCATAAGTGTGAGGACCAGTCAAAAGTGCGAGGACCTGTCAGAAATGACTTTTTTCAGCCCTCTGAGTAGTCCCTATACACATAGCCACGGCCACCCGGTCACATGACCAGCTAGCCACGCCCACTCAGTCACATGATCTCCAAGCCACGCCCACAAAATAAGCCACGCCCACAGAACCGGTAGTAAAAAAATTTAGAACCCACCCCTGGTTGGGGGTCACCACAACATGAGGAACTGTATTAAAGGGTCGCGGCATTAGGAAGGTTGAGAACCACTGCTGTAGAGGAAAAGGATTTCTGAAGAAAGTCTTGCTCAGTGGGAGCCATTTAAAAACAACATTTTTTGTAATAGAACTATTGTCTAGGGAATGTTGCATGGATGAAACATGAATTTGACTCATAACTTTTCAAGCCACATTGCAAGGGGCAGAGAAGTTTACTCTCTGCTTCAGTATAAGTAGGAATCATTCATGGAGCTGAAGCTAAACCTTGGCATGTTTACAAAATCTGTACCATTCTCTGTCTTTTCTAGAATAGTAGGAAGCTCTTTGAGAAATCTGAATACATTTTTAATATCTTATCTTTGCAGGTCAGCTACTTCGGTTGAAAATGTTTCGAGAGGATCATGGGTCTTGGATGACAATGTTTTTCAGTACCATACTTTTTCTCTTCATCTTTTCTCATATCTACAATCTATGTCTTCTTATGGCAGGTAACATGAGGTAGGCTGTAGTTTTCTGATATTACTTTTGTTAATTATAACTCATTGATTAGAATTTTATAAATAGATAAATATGCAAGTTTTATATCAGGGAACTAATTCATTCATATCCTTCCAATAGAAAATACTAAATAACTATAGGAGAAAAATTCCAACCGCTACTGATTTAAATATCTGTTAATAGCTAGAGCAGTAAAGGATTGGATAATAAGTAAGAACACACAGTTATAGCTAATTGGTTAAAGAAAGTGGGCCACTGCATGAGGGAATCTGAGCTGTAATTGGTTGCTATGAGAGTAAAGGGGGGAGTTTCCTTGTTTCCTGCCTTTTTTCCTCTGTGTGCCTTGTGTGCTCTCTGTGATTTAACTCATGATGTTCCTGCTGTGTTGATTTACCTGTCGATGCTCCTATTTGCTTATCTTATTTACTGTAAATATATTTATTTATATAAAACCACTGGTTCATGTCAGTGTATCTGACTCCATTTGGACACTGGCTACACAATTCCCTGACAGGTTATGGGACCAGAAGTGCCCTAAGAGCCAGGAGTATTTTTCTGAGGTAAAAGTTTCTTCGTGAGCCTGAGGAAGGCTGAGGACTGTTGGCCTGTAAAGACAGCACGATGCTATCTGTTACAGGAATTGGAAAAGGATTTCCTGTGGCTCATCTTAATGAGACAACTTATCTTTCTCATTTATCGTTTTATTTTATTATATAAAATGTAATATATTTTATATATACTATATATTACAAGAAGAAAAGAAAATAGGAAATTAAGGGAGGGAAAGGGAGTGGGGGAAAGGGAACATGGGAACACGGCTAACTGAACACATGCCTGGGAACAGATCTCCGAAGGATTTTTCCCTAGAGTGTTGCTCTTCTGCCTTCTAACTGAAGGAACTGGCATCCTATCAGCTTTTATGATCCATCCGGCCAGGGTGTGTCAAAGAACTTCCCCTCGGAACCCTTCAGTACAGCTGTAAGCTGGCAAACGGCTTCTGGAGTTGAACTCCGAAGCTATCTGCTGGGAGGGGAGGGGCTGCAATCTGTTCGGGATTGAAGAAGCTGTAGTTTTGAAATTCACTTTTCAAACGGACAGTAAATTATGCCTTTGTCTTCTTAATCACCTTCAATGACTATTATTCTTTCTTTTTTTTAATCAAGTTTTTTTTATTTTTTAGACAGACAGACATACAAACATACAATGTATTTTCTTTGAACAGAGTATTTTGCCAGTTCACAAATTTAGATAGTATTTAGTCATTTCAATTTTAATTTATAATTTCAATATTTCCTTTTTGCCATATTCATTTCTCATCTATTTTTTAAGAACCAATATTACCCTTCATTCTCATCTCTAATCTTAATTAAATTCAGTTTTTCCCTTCTATTCTGTATTATACCCCTTCCCATTGTCATCTATTTGTATATCTTTCCTCACCTTGGTTAGTTATGTAATGTTACAGCAGTTTAATTCTTATGATTATAATAAATCCGCTTATTTTATAACATACATTTCCTTTGATAATACAAATCCAACATTTTAATATAATCAGTTAGTTATATAACTATCTTTTTTTATATTAATCAATATAAACATGAATATTCCAATTATTTCCATGTAATCCAATTCCTTACAAATCAATTAATTATAGCCAATTCTGCTTTCAACATAATAGACAACTGGAAGTATTTCAATTATTACAATTAATCATTTCTACTTTCTTCACATTATAGAATTAAAGAGTTAAAAATATTCCAACCATTACAGTTTCCCTAATTAACTTTAAAGTATTCTAGCTGTTATCCAAGCCACAACTTAATCCTTTCCACTTTCACCATCATATACCATTAAAGGTATTTCAATTGTTACAATTTAAACTTATTCATATTTCTTTTAAAAAAATGAAATTAAAAAAAAAACAAAGGTTATCATTATCTAAGTTTCAAAGATACAATACAAATATTCCAATTATTATTAATTTCATTTTTGCAATCATATGGTTTCCCATTTTTTTTACTACAATTCATATTTCAATTCTAAATACATATAGCATCTTTCTCTTTCATTTCTTTTTCTCCCTTCCCATTTTTATTTTTACTTTTTTCTTTCCCCTTTTTTTCTTTTGTACTTTGAAATCTTGAGCTCTCCTCTTTTGCCCTAAATTTCCCATTGTTTCCCATCTCTTTTCTCCTTTTCTTACTTCCCCATTATTTATCCCACTGTTTATCCCAGTGTAATCATTCTGTGTTTCACAAATCTGAACTCTTCTATTTTGCCCTGCATTTCCTGCTGATTCCCATCCTTTTCCTCTTTTTTTTCTTTTCACTGTTAATCCCAGTGTAATCATTTAAATTTTTTGTGTTCTATTTCTCCCTTCTCTCCTTCTTTGTCTGTTTGTGCCTTTTCTATTTTTTCCATTGTTAATCCCAATGTAACCTCTAAAAACCTCCTTTTTATTATTACTATCCATATATTCAATTAGTTTTCCAAAATTAATCTCATTCTCTTTATCTTCTTTGTTTTCAGTCTCTGTGTCTTGCTTCTCCATCTTTGTTTCCTTGTCAGCTTGAACATGCTCTCTCTCAGTTTTTGGATCCTCAAGTTTCGATTCTCCATGTAGCATCATAATTATTCCTCTTATTTCTGCTTTCCACAACAAATACATCATTTCCATCATTTCTCTAATTTCCTGCGCCATTTTATTCTTTCTATATTACTATTGTTCCAGATTTAAAAGTTCCGTTGTTTTCCTTTTTTTCCCCAAAGTCAAGCCTCTAGCAGACAAAGCAATCCTCCCCGAAAGTTCTCACAGCTATTATCACTGATAGATAGTTCAAAGTTTCCAAAACAAAGATTCCAAATTGTAGTGCTCTTTTTTCCCCTGAAGATGTCTCACTAGAATCCACAATTCTCTTAATTGTTTAACAGAGTGTCCATTTTATATCAATCTTTGTTAACAATCTAGCTTCTTTTTTCTTCTTTTTAACTTTAAAAATACCAAATCAGTTTTATAGTCCAGTCCAAATTAAAGAATACTTTTCTCCTCATTTTTTTTATTTTTTTTAGGTATAAAGCACTTCTGTTGTAGGGCTTAATATCCAATTGTGTTTTATTTTTCTTAGTCTTCAACAAGAACAGATCTATTTATTTTCTTTCCAATCCTTTAGTCAATTTTGGGGTTGTTTCTTCTAATTCTTAAAATTTTCCAGTTAATTTTATTCAAAAGTCAATATTCTTTTTGGGGTTTTGTCCCTTTAAATTTCGCTTACATCCTCTTTTCTTCCCCCATGCCTGTTAGCCGCTAGTTTTACGCTGGGGGTTTCACGTTTTAAAATAATTTTGTTGTTGTTGTTGTTATTTCGCCTGTGGGTTGGCTGTCACTCACCCGGCTTCAAAAACTCTGTTGCATTCACTGCTCCTGCTCAATACTTAGTCCGGTTGCCCCAGCTTCTTGAGAGCCACAATGGCTGCTGCCTCCGCCGCCGAATTGGAGAGATTCCTCTGACCTTCAAGGAACTTGCCTGTTCCTCTTGGTCTTCCGAGGTGCCTCTCCTTCTTCCCCGTCCCTACAGGACGGTTCTGGTCCAAAGACCCCCTCCGCAGCGGTTCGTCATGTCAGAGGCAATCAGCCCCGTTACCTTCCTGGGGTAATTGCCTGGATTGTGGCATTTTCCTTGTGTATACTTTTGAAAAATAAAACCGGAATACATCTTCTAATTAAACTCATATTTATTGTAAAGAAGAAAATAAAACATCTTACTGATCTAATTGGTTACATTTTGAAATAAAGTTCGTGCCAGCTGCTTCTCAGCAGTCAGACTTTTCTTGGCAAAAGAACAAAGGAAAGAGTGTGAAGGAATGTGGGTGGACAGACTTGTGCAGTTTAGCTTACTGATAACAATTCTTGGCATGCTACGGAAAGTCTGATAGTCCAGAAATGAGAGCTCAGCTGGTAAATAAAAAACGCAGTGACAATCCCCTTCTTTTGCCAGTTGAGCGAATATCAGGTACATCATCAAATAAGGCACATCTTCTTACGCAGATACTCGTGTTGAGTTGCTGGAAGTGGTTTGTTGAGCATGTCTGCAATTTGATCATGTGTAGATACATACTGCATTTTAACAAAACCTTTTTTCACTAAATGTTTTATGTTTTGATAACGGATGTCAATGTGTCTGGACCTAGAACCTGTGAAATGTGATTCAGAAATATAAACCACCGATTCATTATCTTCCATCATGGTGATTGGTCGGATCGCGTGCGTCCAGATATCTGTGACTAAAGCATCAAACCAAGTTAGAGAATTACATGCATCTGAAACACAAGCATATTCAACTTCGGTAGATGAACAAGAAACAAAATTCTGTTTACGTACTTGCCAATAAACAGGACATCCATTTAAGAACATCATATAACCTGAAGTACTTTTACGTGATTTCTTATCACTTGCCCAATCAGAATCTGCATAACAACATAATTCTGCATAATCAGTATGTGTTGGTTCTAACAATAACTTCTTGTGTTTAGTGTATTTTAGGTATCTCAATAATTTCTTAACGCATGTCCAATGAAACTGTTTTGCCTAACCTACGTGTCGAGACAAGAGATTAACACTAAGTGCAATGTCGGGTCTGGTCCAACTACTAATGTACAACAGTGACCCAATAACTGAATGATAAAGTGTTTGATCCTCGAACTCAGGACTTGCTTCTTGTGTCAAGTTGTGAAAATCTGTTTGCATGGGTGTCTTTGTTGTGTTAGCATCTTTCATGTTGCAATGATGCAAAATTTGTTCAATTTTATCCTCTTGTGAAAGACTAAACCCCTTCTGTGTTTTTTCAATCTGAACACCTAAATAAGCTAATATGACCTAATGATTTCAATGTGAAGAATCTCTGCAAAGCTTTGGCAAAAATTTCACTCATTTGCTTATTTGGACCAATATAAACAATATCATCAACATAAACAAGAACGATCTCATATGCATTGTTAGATCT